GACGGCAGGACTTCTGTTAAAGACTCGCTCGGCTGCAGTAGATGGGCGCTGACATGGAGCCGGGTTCTGCTGGAGGATCCTTCCTGCTTAAAGCTAGTTTTCCTCTCTACTGTCACCACTTCATTGCTCAGGAGGAGGGACTGATGGAAGATTGGCTGAGCTTCCCTGGATTGAATATGTTTCTTTAAACGCCATAATACACTGAATTTATTTTCATTATGTAAATAGGATCTAATTTGACTTTTATTATTGAATTTCATTCTGTGTTTGTGTTGAATTCTGTTACATGTTTCTGTTTTAAAGCTCTCATGTAAATTGCCTTGATATCATATTAGCTGTGACTTGTTTTTATTTTTTTAAAACTGAATTATATAAAATTCTGCCTACTGGTTCTGGTTGTGTTAAAGGATTCCTGTCATTCTATCTTCATCTGTTATTTATTATTACTATAATAAAGGTTTGATTTTTGTTAACTTTTCTTGAAATAAGTGTTTGTAAATTGTTTTTTTTTATAAATAAACAAACTGAAGTAAACTTGAGCAAGAGTTTTAATATTACTATAGTGCAGCTCTTCAGCATATTTGTGGTTATTATTGTTTCTCATGTAAACAGAACAATTGTTCTGGTCATCTTGCAGTGTTTGAACAAATTAGGTCTATAAAGTTTGTGGTCTTTGTTCATCAGTGGAGGTTCCAGAAAAAATATATAGGTTTGCACAGAGGGGAGGATGAAAATTAAAAGATGTTAAAAACATTTTAAAGTCAATCTCTGCTGATCACAATAAACAAGAGCATAGTTCAAACATCGTTATTTTCCAAATTAATCAGTAAAAACAGACCAGATTTCCATGAGGTCCTTGGGAATGAAGCGCCGCTCATATTTACATTAGTGGAAGTTAAATAAGAATGTTTTCTAAATAATCACTCGACCTGTTCTTACAACTTCTATGTCATTTGTTTTTTTAACTTCAAATTGTGTTAAAAAATCCTTTCATGTATTAACCCATCACAGAGGTTAAATGCTGTTTGTGGTCCTTAAAGAGTCCTTGCATTGGATATGGAAAAGTTTAGAAACCCTGCTTAAATAAACGCACTGCTTTACCAGCAGCAACATCAGAGCCTTAATGGCTTTTTTTCATCACAAATTAAAGATCTTTTTGGCCAATAAACTGCTGCCAGTTTTCTGACCTAAACGTGTTTCTGAAAATTAAAAACCATCCAAATTTTCCTTGTTGGTTTATTTTAGAGTTTGCAATTAGGTTTTTAAACTTCTTTGATTTTTTTTTTTTTTGATAATGGGAATTAGTTTGAATAATTATTTTTCATCTGTTGTAAAACAAATACTCTCTTCGTTATTCCTTTGAATCCAGGAGCAGTGAAATACCTGGAATGCTCAGTCAGTCAAATAAAAAATCTGAGGTTTTTGGGTTGGAGTATATGTACTAATCCTGAGTGGCCACTAGATGGCAGCGTTCTTTTTTAAAATTATTATTATTATTATTATTATTGCCTGAAAATAACACAAGTTCTTACTTCTACTCATTACATTTTCACACAAGTCTCTGTACTTTCTATTCCTTACATTTTTAAAACAAACATTAGTCGTAACTCTTGGCTTTGGTTTAATGTTTATAAATATTTATTTCAGGTCATGTGCGTCATCCAATGCAGATCATTGGTGCCATCCACATATAGTGAAAACTAGTGTAACTGGATGAGTCATATAACGCAAACACTCATTGGTTAGCTAAAGGAAATTATCAGAAGCAAGCAGGTGTTCTTCAAACTGCAAACGTGAATTGTCTATGCCATGCTGCAATGTCGGAATCAGAAAAAGATGTTGAAATGTCTGAAAGGTCGGAGACAGGCGAGAGCGTATCTGGAGATGGAGACCAACAAGGCCTTCCTCATCCTTGGCCCTATCTCAAAGAATTTTTTGAAATAGTCGAAAAATTGAGCTTTCAATTCAAATAGTGGCATCTGGCTGTTTTTTTAAAAGGTTACTTTATACTTTTATACTTTAAGTAGTTCTTGGAGCACATACTTTTTCACTTTTACTTGAGTAAAGAGGTCAAGTTGATACTTCAACTTTTACCAAATTAGCTTTAATCAAATTAGCACTGCTCAATGGAGCATTGGATAGCACTGCTGCCTTGCAGTAAGAAGGTTCTGGGTCGATACCCAGCCCAGGGTCTTGCTGCATGGCGTTTGCGTGTTCTCCCTGTGCATGTGTGGGTTCTCTCCGGGTACTATGGCTTCCTCCCACAGTCCAAAAACATGACTGTTAGGTTAATTGGCTTCTCTACATTCTCCTTAGATGTGAATGGATGTTTGTCTCTGTGATGTACTGCTACCTGTCCAGGGTGTACCCCGCCTCTCGCCCGTAGACAGCCAGAGATTGCAATGAAGGGTGACTGAAAATGCATGGAAAAATGAATGGACAGCAAAAAAATATACAGAATCCATTGGATAAGATCCCACAGACTCCCAAATGCGTGCTATTCCATCACAGACGTTTACACAGATGCTGTAATGCATAAGAAGTGCTGTTTATAATATTCAAAGGTCAGAGCTTTTTCCAGTATTTATTTATATGAATAATCATTATCAATGCTACTATTATCATGGAACAAACAAACAAGT